AATTGAGCTTATTTTAGCCATTTTTGATCTGACTTGGCTGAAAAAAATAATCTCAGCACTCACCAGAGTTTGCAGATTCCGCTGAAGCCGGGGCTGCTCTGTCCTTGCTGGATTTGTCCTCCCATGGGAGGAGTGAAGTCCCCTAACCCAGTGCCCTTCTCCCTGTGCAGAAGATCTTCAGGACCACGATGCTGTTCCAGTTTGTGAACGTGCTGCTGCAGGTGCTGGTGCACAAATCCCACGACCTGCTGCAGGAGGAGATCGGCATCGCCACCTACAACATGGCCTCGGTGGACTTCGACGGCTTCTACTCCGCCTTCCTGCCCGAGTTCCTGGCCAGCTGTGACGGCGTGGACTCCAACCAGAAGAACGTGCTGGGGAGGAATTTCAAAATGGACAGGGTAAGGAGGGGACCTGCAGCATTGTGGTGTTGCCAGTTTGCAGCTGGGAATGTCTCCAGGCCTGTTGTTCCCAACGTTTCCGTGCCCAGCAATTGCCAGCCAAGGATTTCTCACTGTGGGTAGCAGAGCTGCCAGCTCATCCCTCAGGCTGCAGGGTGCTGTGGGAGTCAGGGAATGTGTCCTGGTGGAAGATTTTATTGGAGTAGATATGTTCCCAAGTGGGATGCTCAGGTCCTTGCCTAAATCTCGCTCCAGCTGCTGGCCAGGTGTTTGAGGGTTACAGTAAAGGACAGAGTACCTGCAAAGGCTCCCAATTCCTGCAAACCCCTCGTGTGTGGGGAGGAAACAGGTGGAATGGCACTGCAGAGCAGCAGGTTCTGCTTCCATTCACTGAGAGTTGTCCATTGAGTGCTCCCTGTCCTGAGGGAGGGGATGGGAACTGGAGACCAAGGGTGAAGATAGGAATGGAACCCTGGGGAAATTGCTTGGCTCTAGAAGGGAACTGCTCTTCAGGAATGCTCTTCAGCCCTTGTTAGGGAGTGTGTGACACCCAGGAGCCTTGGCAGGAGGGCAGCAAGTGCTGTATCCAGCCATGGAGCCAGGCTGGGAGTGTTCACCTGGGGAAGAGAGGGATCCAGGGACACCTCAGAGCCCCTTCCAGGGCCTAAAGGGGCTCCAGGAGAGCTGCAGAGGGACTTGGGACAAGGGATGGAGGGACAGGACACAGGGAATGGCTTCCACTGCCAGAGGGCAGGGATGGATGGGATATTGGGAAGGAATTGTTCCCTGGGAGGGTGGGCAGGCCCTGGCACAGGGTGCCCAGAGAAGCTGTGGCTGCCCCTGGATCCCTGGAAGTGTCCAAGGCCAGGGTGGATGGGGCTTGAAGCAGCCTGGGACGGTGGAAGGTGTCTCTGCTCATGGCAGGGGGTGGTACTGGATGAGGTTTAGGCCCCTCCCAGCACAGACATTCCATGATTCCATGATTCCACGAGTATTCCTCTCGGGCCTCGCTGCACAATGAGAAGCTGGAGATGGGAGCAGAGCCTGGATCCCTGCAGTCAGCTCTGAAACCATCTCAGCCCCAGAAACTGGATTTGCCTGTGCTGAGGCCGGGTCAGGATGGATCTGTTGATGTGTGAACACCCTCGGGGTGTGTGCCCATCTGTGTTGGCCGTTCCCAGCAGTTGTTGTTGTGTCCCTTGCAGGACCTGCCCTCGTTCACACAGAACGTGCACAGGCTGGTGAACGACCTGCGCTATTACAGACTGTGCAACGACAGCCTGCCCCCGGGCACTGTGAAGTTATAGTGACTGCCCTGGACTCCTCCCTTCCGCAGGGAACAGCTCCGTGTTTCGGTTTGCCAGCTCCCCCTCTCCTCCCGGGCCTTCCTGCCCTGGATTCACCGCTCTCCACCGCTTCCCTTGAGCTCTCCCTGCCCGAGCCCGGAGCCAGCAGGATGTGTCTTAATGCCCGTCCCCGGGGCATCCCGACTGTTGGGAAATCCCTCTCCCGGGGCTTTCCCTCGGCTCCTGTAGCACTTTGTTGCATCTGGAGGTGTCTGGAGAGATCATGTCCGTATCAAACACGAGGCAGAAGCGCCAAAGACCACTTGAGACATTCGTACCTTCGTGTCATTCCACCTTCCTGCCCCGCCCAGCTCTCGGAGGAGGCTCCTGACGCTGGGACTGGTTTGGCACTTCTGTCACTCCCTTTGTTTTTAAATTGCCTTGAAAAGCTCCCCGATGTTGGCGGGGATTTAGAGACTTTTTTGGGTTTTTTTTTAAACGTTTTCTCATCATTCCATTGTGATACTAAAACAACATGCTTAATGGGAATAAAGTGCTTACTTTGTTGTTTTAAATAACTTGGGGCTGGGTTAGTTTCCCTCTTAAGTTATTCTGTAAATGAACACGTGGTGATCCACAGCTTTTCCCAGGATCAGGAATGAGGAGCAGCCAGCAAGGATCCCAACAAGTCCCGCAGCTCCTGGAAGGTGCAGATCAGTGGTGACTTCTTCTTCTACTGCTGTCTCCTCGTTGTGTTTTCTGTCATGTGCTGTGGTGATCCATTCATTCATTCCCTCCAGCACTCTTGTCTGAATCGACCATGAAGAGCCTGCAGGAAGGAATTCCCCATTCCCAGGGAGCCTGGAGCTCAAATTCACCCTCTGACCAGTGCCCCAGTAGTGGCACCTGTCTGGTAAAATCCCAGACACCAGTCAGGCAGAACCAGATTGAGTGGGGTTTGTGGATCTCTGATTGTGCAACTGGGAAGGATTTCTTTTCCCTGAGGTCTCTGGTCAGGAAGCAGTATTAAATCAGTCTTCATTTTTATATTTAATAGATTAAATTTGAGAGGAACTTCTCACAAGGGCGTGGAGTGACAGGACAAGGGGAAATGGCCTTGGGCTGAATGAGGGCAGGGCTAGGTGGGATATTGGGAAGGAATTGTTCCCTGGGAGGGTGGGCAGGCCCTGGCACAGGGTGCCCAGAGAAGCTGTGGCTGCCCCTGGATCCCTGGAAGTGTCCAAGGCCAGGCTGGATGGGGCTTGGAGCAGCCTGGGCTGGTGGAAGGTGTCTCTGCCATGGCAGGGGAGGGGTGGGACTGGGCTTTAAGGTCCCTTCCAGCCCAAACCATTCCACAATTCTATGGAATCAGTTTTAATTCCCTTTGGCTAAGTGGGCAGCTGCAGTGGCAGGAACAGCACCAGGCACTGGGAAGGGAGCTCTCCTGGAGATGTTCTGCTAGGAATGTTTGGAGATGTGGGTGTGATGTGGCTGCAGCTGGGAGGTGTCAGGGGTGAGCTGGAGCGTGGCAGCACTCCCTGGTTCCTCTGTTTCAGCTTTGTGCACAAGCCCCTTCCCTGTGCACGTTTGCCATTGGGAGATGACAGATGCTGTTTGGAAAATCTGTGCAGTCCCTGCCTCCAGGCTCTGAACTGGCACCAGTTGGATGTTTGGGCTCCCTGTCCTAGAGCAGAGTCCAAATGCCCAGGATGAGCCTCACCTACTCCAGCCTGTGCAGGTGGGGGCTGAGCTGCCTCCAGAGGGGTGGGGGAAGAGGGGAAGGTGGGTGATGGTGAGTGCCAGCTCCCTGCCAGCCAAACCTGCAATAACACTTGGAGTGCCACAGTCTCCACATGAATCTTGGAGTCCTTGTTGTTCCTGCTGGAACATCCAGTGCAGAGTCCAAGTGGCATCTGGGCTGGTTTGTGGTCTACTGGGCCTTAAAAAGAATTCTGTGAGCTTTTGCTTCCTTGACTCCTATAGAATGTTTATTCTAGAGTGCAAAAGGATCTTTAAATGGGCCCTGCTCTGTGTGTCTCGCTGGCCGAGGAGCAATCACAGAGCAGGGCTGCTGTGGTTGGTGACACTGCCCTGCTCCTGAGCTGTTCCTGAGCTGTTCCTGGGCACTCTCAGCAGCTCTGCCCTGCCCTGAGCTGCACTGGGGACACTGGAAGCAGCCACCTCCTCCAGCAGTTCCCTGGCTGTGGCTTGTTTTGGAGCTGGGCTGAAGGGATTTCATCCCAGTGCAGCTCTCCAGGATCATGCTGCTTCTCTTTCCTGGCTTGACAGAGGGGTGAGAGTACAAGATTTTCCCTTGGTCAATGCCAGCAGCTGCCAGGTGCCCAAAATCCAGGCTCCAATCTGCCACCCCTTGTCCTAAAACCTCTTTCCCCTTTGCCACCCTTCTGTCCCATTCCCCCTGGCCTGGCAGACCCTGGAGAGGGGCCTTTCCCCACTCCCAGCCCCTTGCTTGAGGGCAGGAAGTCTCTTTTTCACAACCTTGAGTTGAGTCCATTTGCCCTTGGGAAGCCACTGGGGTGTTTTTTGCCATGGTGCTGAGCACAGCAGGTCCCCAGAGCCCCCAGGCTCTGGCAGGGGTTCTGTCCCCCCACTCCCTGTGCCTTGGGCAGGGAAAGTGGGATAGAGCCCAGCCCTCAGCTTGGTTCTGTGTGTGCCTTCAGGATACTGCTCAGTCCTTCAGATCAGTGCAGATTTGGGAAATGGGCTCAAAGCAACCAGGCTTTTCCATGAACTTGTCAAGCTGTTCTCCCATGAGGTGTTTGAGCACATGGGAAGCCCAGCAAAGAGTGATTTCCCATCCTGGGCTCTGGAATGGGCTTGGAGAAGGGATCAGAGGGGCTCCCACCTGGGCAGTTCCTCTTCCCCCAGGGTCTTGCACCCCTTCCCCAGCACCTGCTGTGTCCAGGGCAGGTCTGTGCCCCACTGGGGACCCTGCCCTGGCTGCTCCCGGGGCTGGGGACTCCCTTGTGCCCCAGCTCAGCCTGGCCTGGGCTGACCCTGCCTGGTGAATCGAGGGCAAAGCACGAGGTAGGTTTGGTTCCTGCCCTCGGGATGGGTGTGGGCTGTGCTCCCACCCTGGCAGGGTTTGGGATTCCAAACTGGGCTGTTCCGTGTCAGGATATTCCGTGTCGGGATGCTCTGGATGGGGAGGATGCTCTGTCCCGGGATATCCCGAGCAGGCGCGGCGGCCGCCCGGCCCCGGCTGCTGCTTTAAGGGGAGGGACGGAAGCCTGACCCGTCCCCGGGCTCGGCCGGGCCCTTAAAGCCTCCGGAGACCGACCGAGGCCGGGTCCGAGCCGCCGGGGCCACCATGGGCTCCCTGGGGCGCTGCCTGGCCCGGAACCTCCCCGGGCTCCGCTGCTATGGCTCCGGTGAGACACGGCCCCATCCTCATCCTCCTCCTGGGGACCCTGTCCCCATCCCCGTCCTGCCCCTGGGGACCCTGTCCCACCCTCATCCTGCCCCTGGGGATCCTGTCCCCACCCCTGTCCTGCCCCTGGAGACCCTGTCCCCACTCTGGGGGCCTTCAGCCCCTTCCCCCTCCTGCCCTGGGTTCTCTTTCCACATCCCCGTCCTGTCCCCAGTCCCCTGCTTGTGCCGCCCCTCAGGTCTCCTGTCCCATCTTGTTCCCATCCTGTCCCATCCTGTTCCCATCCTGTCCCATGCCCTGGCGGTGTCCCCGTCCCTCCATCCCGGCCGGGTGGCGCCTCACGGGCTCTGCTGTCCGGGATGGGGCAGAGGCTGGAGCTGGTGCTCCCTGAAGGTCCCAAGGGGTTCAGTGTCCCCAGGACTGTGCTGGGGGGACAGGGCAGGACCCTGGCAAAGCCGAGCCGTGTTCAGCAGTGCCCGGGGACGCTCACGGGCTCGGTTTCTCCGGCTCTGTCCCCGCCGGCACTGGGACCACCACTGGCAGTGAAGTGTCCTCCCTCCCTTCCCCTCCTTCCCGTCCCCTCTGTCCCTCCAGCGGACGGGATGTCCCTTGGGGGCTTCTGTCCCCTCCTGCGGCGCAGCTGTGGCTGCGCTGTGACCCTGCTGTCCCACGGTCACCGATTTTCCTCTCCTCCAGCGGAGCGCTGTGACCGGGGACCCTCCGGGCGGGGGAAAGGCCCCGGGCAGGGACAGAGTCCCGAGCACCGGGACACGGCACAGACACCCCTGGTTTAAAGGCTGCTTCCCGAGCACGGACGTGTCCCCAACAGCCATCAGGGCTTTGTGGATCGTCCCCAGCAGCCTGAGAGGCACCGCTTGTCCGGGGGATGCGACCCAGGACGGGATGGGGGGACAGGGACAACCTCGGGGTCCTGCTGCCACCGTGTCTGGTGGGGTCCCGCGGTGGCCGCAGTGACTCTCGGTGACCCGCAGTGACTCTCGGTGACCCGCAGTGACTCTCGGTGGTCGCGCAGCCCCCCCGGCTCTGCAGGAGAAGACACTTCTGCTGGCCAAGCCGGACGCGCTGCAGCGGCGGCTGCTGGGGGACATCATCCAGCGCTTCGAGCGCCGCGGCTTCCAGCTGGTGGCCGTGAAACTGCTCCAGGTACCCGGGCCCGGCGGGGAGCGCTGCTCCGGGAGCGGGGGTGGCCGGGGGACACCGGCCGGGTATCACTGTCACCAACGCTGCCTCAGGTGGACCGGAGGCTCGTGGACCGGCACTACGAGCAGCTGCGGCTGAAGCCCTTCTACCCCGCGCTCGTCGCCTACATGACCTCGGGGCCGGTGGTGGCCATGGTGAGGGGACAGTTCGGGGGTCCCGGGGGTCCCGAGGGGCGCAGGGGACTCAGCCTTGCCTGTCCCGCAGGTGTGGGAGGGTTACGATGTGGTGCGGTGCGCCCGGGCCATGGTTGGGGACAGCAGCGCCGTGGGGACCATCCGGGGGGACCTCAGCGTGCACATCACCAGGTAGGACCGCGGGGAGCGCGGCCCCACGGCCGTGGCACTGTCCCCATCCCTGTCCCCTCCCAGGAACGTGGTCCACGCCAGTGACTCCGTGGAGATGGCCCAGCGGGAGATCGGCTTCTGGTTCCAGCGGGACGAGCTGGTGGCCTGGGACAGCTGGGACAGGGACAGCATCTACGGGCTCTAGGGTCGGGCCCCGGCCGGGGGGCACCCCCCGCCCCCGATAAACCCCGGTGCCTCCAGCTCTGCCTTCGGTCTCCTCCCTCGGATGTCACCAGCAAGGGCTGGGGGCTCTGGGAGGCACTGGGATGTCCCCAGAGGACACTGGGGTGGTACTGGGAAGCTCTGGGAGGCACTGGGATGTCCCCAGAGGACACTGGGGTGGGACTGTGAGACTCTGAGAAGCTCTGGGTGTCCATGGACTGTTCCTGCGGGCACTGGATTGGTACTGGGAAGCTCTGGGATGAACTGGGATGTCTCTAGGAGCACTGAGACAGTACTGGGAGGCTCGGGAAGCTCGAGAAGTCCCTGGGAGCACTGGAACTGTACTGGGAGACCCTGTGAAGAGCTGGGCTGTGCCCTGGGGGGCTGCAGGGGCTCTGCAGGTGACAGGAAGAGACCAGGGTGGGGTGTGAGCTGTGAAAGTGGGGGCTCCGTGCGACACTGGGACACCGCTGGGTGGCACTGGGACACCGCTGGGTGGCACTGGGGGCCACTGGGTCACTGCGGAAAGAGCTGGGACCTCACTGTGAGGTACTGGGACAGCTCTGGGGCGGGGAATATCACTGGGATACACTGGGAGCACTGGGATACACCGGGATACACCGGGATACACCGGGACACACCGGGATATACTGGGACACACCGGGACACACCGGGACACACCGGGATATACTGGGACACACCGGGACACACCGGGATACACCGGGATACACCGGGACACACCGGGATATACTGGGACACACCGGGACACACCGGGATACACCGGGACACACCGGGATACACTGGGATACACCGGGATATACTGGGACACACCGGGATACACCGGGATACACCGGGACACACCGGGATATACCGGGATATACCGGGACACACCGGGACACACCGGGATATACTGGGACACACCGGGATATACTGGGACACACCGGGATATACTGGGATACACCGGGATACACCGGGTTACACCGGGATACACTGGGATACACCGGGACACACCGGGATACACTGGGTTACACCGGGATATACTGGGACACACCGGGATACACCGGGATACACCGGGACACACCGGGATATACCGGGATATACCGGGACACACCGGGACACACCGGGATATACTGGGATACACCGGGATACACTGGGATACACCGGGACACCCCGGGATACACCGGGATACACCGGGTTACACCGGGATACACCGGGATACACTGGGATACACCGGGACACCCCGGGATACACCGGGATACACCGGGTTACACCGGGATACACCGGGATACACTGGGATACACCGGGACACCCCGGGATACACCGGGATACACCGGGTTACACCGGGATACACCGGGATACACTGGGATACACCGGGACACCCCGGGATACACCGGGATACACCGGGTTACACCGGGATACACCGGGATACACTGGGATACACCGGGACACCCCGGGATACACCGGGATACACCGGGTTACACCGGGATACACCGGGATACACTGGGATACACCGGGACACCCCGGGATACACCGGGATACACCGGGTTACACCGGGATACACCGGGATACACTGGGATACACCGGGACACCCCGGGATACACCGGGATACACCGGGTTACACCGGGATACACCGGGATACACTGGGATACACCGGGACACCCCGGGATACACCGGGATACACCGGGTTACACCGGGATACACCGGGATACACTGGGATACACCGGGACACCCCGGGATACACCGGGATACACCGGGTTACACCGGGATACACCGGGATACACTGGGATACACCGGGACACCCCGGGATACACCGGGATACACCGGGTTACACCGGGATACACCGGGATACACTGGGATACACCGGGACACCCCGGGATACACCGGGATACACCGGGTTACACCGGGATACACCGGGATACACTGGGATACACCGGGACACCCCGGGATACACCGGGATACACCGGGTTACACCGGGATACACCGGGATACACTGGGATACACCGGGACACCCCGGGATACACCGGGATACACCGGGTTACACCGGGATACACCGGGATACACTGGGATACACCGGGACACCCCGGGATACACCGGGATACACCGGGTTACACCGGGATATCGCCGGGAGCTCGGGGCCGGCCCCGGGCGCTGCAGTTCCCACCGCGGCCGCCAGGGGTCGCTGTGTCCCGGAGCGGCCCCGTTGCCCGGCAACGGCGGCGGCGCTCGCGCATGCGCAGTGAGCAGCGCCCGTCCCCACCATGGCCGAGGCCGCCATGGCCGCGCCGGTGCCCCCGGACGAGGACGGGGACGAGTGTCTGCCCCAGTACCGGCACCTGCTCAGCCCCGACCTGCTCGCGTGAGTCCCGGCGCTCCGGGGGGCCCGCCGGGGCCGCCTCCCCGGGCCCGGCTCTGACCGTGCCTCTGTCCCACAGGGGCCAGGTGGCCTTCATCACCGGCGGCGGCTCCGGCATCGGCTTCCGCATCGCCGAGATCTTCATGAGGTGCGGGAGCCCCTGCGGTGGGACGGCCCCTTCCTTCTCTCCCTCCTTCCCTTCTTCTTTCCCCTGTTCCCTTCTTCTCTTTCCCCCTCTTCCCTTCTTTCTCTTCACCCCCTTTCTCTTCTGTTTCCCACCGTCCCATCCCTTTCCCCGCCGCGGTACCAGAGCCGGGAAGAGCCGCGAGGAGAAGCCGAGGGCGGCAGAGCCCTCACGGAGGCTCCGGGGGCTCGGCTCTGGCTCTTCCCGTCCGCATCCCGCGGGCCTGGAGCAGCAGCGATCCCTGCAAGGAACACCCGAACTCCTGGTGATCCCGAGGTGCTGGTGAGGAGCCCGGCCCTTCTCACCTGCCCCTTCCCTGCAGGCACGGCTGCCGGACCGTCATTGCCAGCAGGAACCTGCAGAGAGTGTCTGAGGTGAGCCCGGGCTCCAGCGGGAGAGCTGCCAGCCCCGGAAACCCTTCTGCTGTCTCCCGGTGGAACCGGGAGCCCTGGGAATGGTGCAAGAAGGAGGAATGGCTTCCCAGTGCTTCCCAGCCTCCCAGCCCTGGGCACCTCCAGCACAGCTCCGTTAAGCTGGAACCTGCTTTGCAGGGGCTGTTGCACCATCATGATGGCTTTTTGTGGGGGAGAGAGACAGAAGTGGGCTGTGGGGGAGGTTTGTCAGCAGGGCAGAGGCCAAGGCTGGTCTGAAACCTCAGTGTGGAGTAGGAGCTGACCCCAGGGGCTGGTGGCTCGAGGTGGGTTGCACAAGTGCCCCTGTGTTTTGGGGCAGAGGGGAGGGTGCAGGTGTGGTTGGCTGTCATTTTCCACTCCCTCATGCTCACGTGCCAGAAGAAGCTGCAAAGCTCAGCAGGTTTTTAATCCTCAGGGGCCAGAGTCTTCTGGGGCCACAGAATCTGCAGTCCAGGAGTACAGCTGCTCGTGCACCCGTGTGTTGCTGGGGCTCATAACCTCTCACAGAGCCCAAAACAGAAGTTAGAGCAGTTTTGGGTGTTGTGTGGAGTTCCTGCTGAGCTTGTGTGTCCCCTGTGCTTAATTTTCTGGGGAAAATCTTTCTCTTAATGAGCCATAGGGATGGCCTGTGACAAACCCTGGGCTGCAGAGCTGGTCCATCTCACAGCCTGACACCTGGCTGCAGTCTTTGCCCTTTTGCCCACTGACTTTTGGGATCTAAAGGGCAATTATGCCTGGGCTCATGCCAAAAGTGCCTTTCTGGTCTCCAGCCTTTGTAATTGCCCTGCAGAGATGTTGCCTGGGATGTGCTGTGTCCGTGGCAGCCCATGCAGGTAACTGGGCTTAGCCAGTTGTGGCCAGCCCAGTAACCAGTGTGGCTGGGATACAACATGTAGGACTTTCTCTGGCTACTCCAGGGCTAGCAGGGTGCAGCCAGGTTCTCTCAAGTCTCTTTTTGTTCTTTCAGGCTTCAAAAAAGCTGGTGGCAGCCACAGGGCAGCAGTGTCTGCCCCTGTCCATCGATGTCCGGCAGCCTCAGACCATCGTGGCAGCGGTGGATGAGGCGCTGAAGGAGTTTAAGAGGATTGACATCCTCATTAATGGTGAGGATGGAGAGGGCAGGGGGAGGGATTTGGCTCGCTGCTGGGCAGTGTTTTCCTGCAGAAGCATCCCTGGGAGCACAGACAAAGCAGGGATCTGGGTGTGGTACATGGCCATCCCTGTTTGTCTGGCTGTGGATCATCCCTGCTCCCCTCGTGCTGGCTGTGCTGCTGGGCATCCAGAGCCACCAGTTTATCCCTTAGCAGGGCTGTCTCCACGTGCTCTCCAGCCTGCAGACATTATCCCTCAGCCTTCCTGGCACACAAGGGCCCTGACATCTCTGCCAGCCCTGTCCTGCCTGTCCCTGTGCTTCAGGTGCTGCGGGGAACTTCCTGTGCCCAGCCAGTGCCCTGTCCTTCAACGCCTTCAAGACAGTGATAGACATCGACACCATGGGCACCTTCAACACCTCCAAAGTCCTCTTTGAGAAATATTTCCGGGTAAGGGGCACGGAACCAGGGGACTCTGAGGAGGCTCTGATAGGTGGGGGTAGTGTCAAACCACACTGTGCTCCTGGGGAAATCAGGGGAGTGCAAGGACCCAGAGCCTCCCTGCACAGATCCACTCTGTTTCTTGCCAGGGATCCCAGCCCTGAACTGGGGATCTTCCTGTCCCTTGCCCTGGGGCTCTCTGTGTTGCAGCACCTTTCCATGCTCTGCCACCTGCAGAAGCTGTGATCTGCTCCTTTTCCAGCTCTGCCACTTTCCCTCGGCCTTTCCTCCTACGCTGCATGTCCCACCTCTCCAGCAGAGCCTCTCTGGCTGACCCCACTCTGAGATTCAGTGGGTACAGCTGCCCCAGTGATGGCTTGGCAGTGCCCGTGGGTGCCTGTCCCTCTGATCCCAGCTCTCCTGTCCCTCAGAGCCCTCTGTGACCCTTTGTGCTGCTCCCTGTCTAACTCCACATCTCCTTTCCTTCCCCAGGACCACGGT